TAGATAAGGGACAGTTGGGAGATGTGGTAAAGCATTGAAGCCACACAACTAGTATTCTTAGAAGGAAGTCACCAATGGTAGCTCCATATTTCTTTCACTATAGGTTTGTTTTAATTAACAGTTTAAAGTAATAATATGCTTGTTTTAAAGGTGCTAGAGTATCAGTAGCAGTGAAGAGAAGGCACCTACAGAAATCTGCACATATCTCCCATTTCTATGAGGTCCCCAGGTAGCTTGAAACCTAGAGCATTCAATTATACAGTGACCTTGGCCATGAAGCTTGGGCTCTGACCTACCCTCACACCACCACCTCTCATGCTTCACCTTTCGCCATTATAGCTGAAACACCCAATTCTTCCCTTCACACTGCAACATTAGTCAGTGAGGCTATATATCAACTTGAAGGTTAACAGTGTGCCAAAGGTGGAAGGAAGAGTTAGGTTGAGCTCCGCTTTTGGTCAAGAATAACTAGTTGACTGAAGATATCAAGATATGTTTGCATCTTTAGGTGGCCCTTTCACACATAGGTTTATACAGCAATCAAAGCAGACCTGTACTGACAGAAGAACAGAGCTACATCCTTTTAAGTATGTTAGTTGCCTTATTGCCTCTGGTTTCCACACTTTCTCAGTCACTGTCCCAGGACAGGCATGAAGATTAAAAAGTCAGACTGAAATCAGAACATTTATGCATACTTCTACCAGAACAGTCACTAGGAAATCCTAGGTGATTAGGATTCAAAGATGCAATGAGTAAAACATTTTAAGGCTGCGCTTCAACAACATAGAGTATTGCACAAGGCCCACCCAAAAAGTTTATACGGTAAACGAAAGATGAAAGCACCACAATGATTGAATATGTCCAATAGAATGTTTATTAAATACAATACAAAAGTGGGTATTCAACACAGGCTGGGGATTGAGTGATAAGGATATCAAACGGATAGGGAATCAGTGCATCTACTGGACATATTTCATTGTTGTAATACTCTCGTCTTTTGTATACCCTATAAGAAAATTGTTCAAACACAAGATATACAGACCTATTTCAATGCAGATAGCAGTCAGCACTTATTGAACTAAGCCCAAATTTGGCAAATAACAAATCTATACTGGACGACGGTGCATTTCCCTACGCACCATCTGGCCAATTCATGAATCTAAAATATATAACCTTTATTCAAATATATAAAAAATGTATGCTCAGCGATAGTTAATGCCTATTGGAGTGGAATGTACTGCGCACAACAATATAACTGGATACCATTGCAATTATTTACCTTACATCCAAATGGTTAATAACACCAGAACAAATCAAATACCATACCGTTTTATATTAAGTTACGGCATACAAAGAGGCACTGTAGTTTGATCATAAACCTATAAGCTTGAATATATAATCTCTGTTAAGGAAATGGAATTATCCCATGGACAAAACGAATTAGATAGTACAATCTATCCTGCTACAGATATGTAATACAGGTACACTCATGCATGAGCTTAAATGTCAGCCTCTCATGGATAAGCCCCATACGTCACCATATCACCAAAAATACCTGTCTTGAGGAATGCAAATGACGCACTGTAAAACGCAGTACAGACCTCTCCAAAAACTTCCAAATGGAAGAGTCAAAAATTGTTTGACAGATTTATGAGACGTGGCTATCATAAGACTGATTTGAATAAATCCTATGAGAAAGTTAAATGGGTTCCAAGAGAATCTCTGTTGTCAGAAAACCATAAAAGGGAATGTTCCAATATCTCTTTATGATGTTGAAAATCTGCCCAGATTGATTTGAATATTTACCTATGATACGCATGCCTTGCTGGTCATCCAATTTTATAGTTTTAGCAGTCAGCACTCCCAGAAGGTACAGTATATGCATCATGAATACCCCAGTGAAAGCAATAAAAGGCAATACCCAAGCAGGGCCACCACTATTGTGTGCTAACCCTGTATGTATGCTATTATAAAATAAAACTTTGAGTTATCATTTCATTAGGAGTATGTATAAAATGATAAATTAACAGCACAGGTAATGATTGCAATTTCAGAAGAGATGTCAGAGCAAGGCCATTATGGGAGTCTATCTTTCATTATGTTTTTATGTTGTAAATCACCCTCAGATACCATACGGTGAATAATTTCCCTGTGCATCTAGTAAAATCATTCATGGACTTTATATGTTAACTATGCAATCTAAAATTCAGGTTAAAGCTGGTTCCTCTCTTCCTCTCTCCCTCTGAAGCAAAACCTTACTGATTATAAATATACATGTCTGCTTGAAAGTTTAAGTCCTATGCTCCTTTGCAGCAAACTTCTCATTTTAAACCAACAAAAAATGTTTTTTCAGCTTAGAATGGGTCCCAGGCAGGGGGGGGACTGACCATTTGGAATTTCTGGCACTGCCCAAGGGCCCGGGGTCAGTAAGGGGCCCCATGAGATGCCCCTGGTACCCTTTTCATAGGCTTTTTTGAGTTTGGGCAAGGGACACAGGGGCCCCATGATCCCCTATTGCCTGGGGGCCCCATGAGTTGTCAGTCCGCCCCTGGTCCCAGGATCCCAGAGAGTCTGTTTGCTTTTAAAGTATGGCTTGCTTTTAGGCAACATACCACTTTCCCACCGCCCGACAAGCACCCTCTGAAAAGTGATCCACTGAAATGCAATCCATCTCTTCAGATGGTGAAACCAGTGTAAATGAGACCTAACCCAGATCCAGGCAGGGGTCAATCTGATGCACACTTTACTCCACAAGCCCAAGCAGTTTGTAAAAGGGCTGATGGTACTCTCTCTGCTCAAAAGTGTGAGACACCCCCCACCCTCACATGTTGCTGATCTTCTCTTCTCTTTCTTAGACTTGGATTGGAGTAGGAGGTTAATCACATAATTCTCTTTTATTAAGTAGACTCTTGAGTGATTTTTCCTATTTATGTACACCCCTGGTCGATTACCCTAAAGAGGCCATTCTCCTAACAACTGGCCAACAAACTCTGCTGTAGCACAAAATAGAGACCCTTGCGCTAGGAGATTTTGTTTCTGAATGTAAAAATCACCTGTATAGCCCTAGGCTTACAATGACAAGGACTGGGACAAACTATTATACTAAAGGCCATACACATATAGACTTGTGATCAATCTACGCAAATTAATTCATCATTCATTAAACTATTGAATGATGTAACACATAAAGGTGAATTTATAAAAAAGCTATTCATCCATCGAAACTGCATTTAAGTTTGTTCTGTGTGAATGTGGAAAAATTGATAGTTCTCAGGCAATATTTTCTGTAATGTGAATGTTTGTATATGGAAAATACTTCATTATGGCCAATAGATGTTGCTGAGGAGCATGCTTATCTCCTGCGGTAGTCAACACTATCTAGTGGCAATAATGAGGAACTTTCTACTTTCACAAATTTGAACTGAAAACATTTGATTTTGCGTCATTCACACAGAAGGACTATACATGCAGTTTTGATGGACGAGCAGCTATGTGAATTTTTTATAAATACACACAATAGGGTATCAATGGAAAATATGATGTATTAGAAATAATGTATTGAAAATTAACATTTAATTAGTCTTTTTTTTACATTCAGTTGCCTGATACACATGAACACTTACTAAATTGTTTGAAAGGAGGGTCTGATCTGGTCTGATGATTTACGATTTAGCCCGGGTTCACATATATGCGGTTTGGTACATTCCATGTGATTCGCACAGGAACCTCACCGCTTTCCTGTACAAATCACATACGATTTGTGTGTGGTGCGATTGGAGCCATACATTTTGTATGGCTCTAATCGCACCACACCCGCACCAAAAAGGTGCAGGACCCTTTTTTTGGTCCGCACTAGAATCGGATCGCATGGATATTCACACCTATGCGATCCGACTCTGCACATTGCACTGCATTTTGCGGATTTCAGGGTGTTGTTAACTTAACATACACACCCGCAGCAGTTCGCATGAACGGGGTGCGATTCTGATGCGGTGCGGAATTCACACTGAAAACGCTGCAAATTCCACAGCGCATCAGTGTGAACCCAGGCTGAGTCACATCAAATTATTGACTGAATGATTATATAAATACCTGTGTGACCACCTTAAAAGGTAAGTTCACCATTTCTCGAAAAATGAAAAGGTGAATTAACTCCAAATTTCCTAGCCATCCCTCTGAACCCAGCTTCACCTAGCTGCTGTGATGCCCCAGGCTGCCAGTGTAGCAGTCCATACACCACAATACACAGCCCCATAATGCTCACAGTGGCAAACACTCATTAGTTGATGCCATCATGTGACTGTGCTGACCAATTAGCAGCACTTTTTTTTTTTTTGGAACAATTTATCAGAAGAAGCCTAAGATGCACTTCTCATTGGTCATCATAGTCAAATAGCTGTGCTGACCAATGAATGCTTGCCATTGCAAGCATTGTGATGGATACTCATTCCAGAGCTGATGGATCACTACACCAGCAGCATAGGGTATCACACCCGTTACATACAGCGAGGTCTGGAGCAGCAGCGGACTGACAACTAATGGGGTCCCCGGGCAATAGGGGATCATGGGGCCCCTGTGTCCTTGCCCAAACTCAAAAAAGCCTATGAAAAAAGTACCAGGGGCATCTCATGGGGCCCCCTACCGGGCAGTGCCTGAGTTTCCAAATGGTCAGTCCGCCCCTGGTCTGGAGGACCTTTTGTGAAAAGGAGAACATACCCTTTAGAGCAGACTTTATCAACCTTTTCAACACAGAGGAACCTTTGAAATAACTCTCTGGTTTCAGGAAACCCTTGCTAAAAATGACTATATCTGCAACTCATGATACATTAGTGTGATAGTGCTCCTTACACTTGTGGTCATTGCAAAGAATTACCCACTTACAGATAGCTAAAAAGATCAATGGTGTTAATGGGATCTTATCTGGAAGGCAGATATTGCTCCTTGCCCAAGGAACCCCTAGCAACCTCTTGAAGAACCCTAGAGTTCCATGAAACCCTGCTGTAGCCTCCCTGGCGGTATTCCCGAGTGTAGCTCGGGGTAAAGTTTCAGTACCACAAGCAGTAACCCTGAGCTACACTCGGGGAATACCATGCGGCGCTGCTCTGGGATCTGTTCTTCTCTTACCTTGTCCTGCGCTCCCGCAATGTCCCCCCTGCAGTGTCCCCAGCAAAGTCCTCCGGCGGATGCCGGCATCTGTCTTCTGGGTTCCGTTCCCTGCAACGTCGGGACGTATGGGGACGGTACGGCGGGAAATTTTAAAATGACAAAAAGTGACATTCACTAAATTCACTAAAATAACATAGTAAAACATTACTGTATCAAACCATTTCACATACATTTTTGTCCCTAGTGCTTTGTCCTGTGCCCTGCTTGCATTTTTACTGTTCTGCCTGGAAACTGAGAAACGTCCATGGCGTCCAAAAAGCGTCCCTTTAGGTAAAAAGCAGTTTTAGACCAGCTAGAGAACAGTGATAGTAAATTAGAACTACTTGATGTGCGAACTTGGCGCTATATTTCAAACTTCAGTGTTTTTGGTTTGATTATATTATTGAATTAAATGTATTATTATTATTATATTATTATTTTTTATGATTATTTATTATATTATAATTTATTATTTTGTGTTTCAAATTTTAACATACCCGGGATGTTTACTAGACTCTTGTTCGGACAGATTTCAGTGAGTTATTCCTAAAAATTACAGGCCTACAATAAAAAAAATACATATTTCCATGCAAAACATTTACCGCTTTGAGCACAGAAATGTGGACATAATCAGGCCGCTAGGGAGGTTAAAAAGATGATTACAAAGATCATCTCTATTCTTGCAGTTAAAGTTGTCTTTAAAAGAAAATCTGTCCAAGCACCCCTGGCAGTGTTCTGGTTTGTCCCAACCACTGTCACGTTGCTGGACAGCTTGGTCTGAATGCAAATATGGAAAAAAAATATAAAAATTTGCATGTAAATAACTAGGTCAGTGGGTTTGAGATACGAAAGATTAACATAACATGCATTTAACTCACACAGATATCGGAATTTAGCCCAGCCAAAACATTTTTGTTTTGAATAGGATGGGAAGGATTATAATCCCTGTCAGGCATTTACTGCTAGTGTCAGAGGACATCTCAGACAGCAGTAAAAAAAATAATGGCAGGATTACGATCTTTCCCAACTCCATCCAAAACTAAACAAATAGTTTCAACTGGACATACAATTTAATACTTTGAAGCAGGGGTCTCCTAACTTTTTAAACAAAGGGCCAGTTTACTGCCCTTCAGACTTTTTGGGGGCCGGACTGTGGCCAGTGAGGACAGAGTAGAAATGTCCTGACAACAGAGAAGTAAATAATGCATCTTTAGTATTAGATGGAGAAATAGTTGGTGTCAGTCATTGTTTCAGGAGGAATAGTGCCCCATCATTGGTTTCAGTAGGAGGAATAGTACCCCATTATTGGTTTCAGTAGGAGGAATAGTGCCCCATCATTGGTATCAGTAGGAGGAATAGTGCCCCATCATTGGTTTCAGTAGGAGGAATAGTGCCCCATCATTGGTATCAGTAGGAGGAATAGTGCCCCATCATTGGTATCAGTAGGAGGAATAGTGCCCCATCATTGGTTTCAGTAGGAGGAATAGTGCCCCATCATTGGTATCAGTAGGAGGAATAGTGCCCCATTATTGGTATCAGTAGGAGGAATAGTGCCCCATCATTGGTATCAGTAGGAGGAATAGTGCCCCATCATTGGTGTCAGTGGGAGGAATAGTGCCCCATCATTGGTTTCAGTAGGAGGAATAGTGCCCCTTCATTGCTGTCAGTGGGAGAAAGAGTGCCCCATTGTAGGAGTCAGTGGGAGGAATACTGCCCCATCATTGGGGTCAGTGGGAGGAATAGTGCTCCATCATTGGTGTCAGTGGAAGGAATAGTGCCCCATCATTGGTGTCAGTGGGAGGAATAGTGCCCCATCATTGGTGTCAGTGAAGGAATAGTGCCCCAGTTGATGTCAGTGGGAGGAATAGTGCCCCATCATTGGTTTCAGTAGGAGGAATAGTGCCCCATCATTGGTTTCAGTAGGAGGAATAGTGCCCCATCATTGGTTTCAGTGGAGGAGGAATAGTGCCCCATCATTGGTTTCAGTGGGAGGAATAGTACCCCATCATTGATTTCAGTAGGAGGAATAGTGCCCCATCATTGGTTTCAGTAGGAGGAATAGTACCCCATTATTGGTTTCAGTAGGAGGAATAGTGCCCCATCATTGGTATCAGTAGGAGGAATAGTGCCCCATCATTGGTTTCAGTAGGAGGAATAGTGCCCCATCATTGGTATCAGTAGGAGGAATAGTGCCCCATTATTGGTATCAGTAGGAGGAATAGTGCCCCATCATTGGTATCAGTAGGAGGAATAGTGCCCCATCATTGGTGTCAGTGGGAGGAATAGTGCCCCATCATTGGTTTCAGTAGGAGGAATAGTGCCCCTTCATTGCTGTCAGTGGGAGAAAGAGTGCCCCATTGTAGGAGTCAGTGGGGAGGAATAGTGCCCCATCATTGGGGTCAGTGGAGGAATAGTGCTCCATCATTGGTGTCAGTGGAAGGAATAGTGCCCCATCATTGGTGTCAGTGGGAAGAATAGTGCCCCATCATTGGTGTCAGTGGAAGGAATAGTGCCCCATCGTTGATGTCAGTGGGAGGAATAGTACCCCATCATTGGTTTCAGTAGGATGAATAGTGCCCCATCATTGGTTTCAGTAGGAGGAATAGTGCCCCATCATTGGTTTCAGTAGGAGGAATAGTGCCCCATCATTGGTTTCAGTAGGAGGAATAGTACCCCATCATTGTTTTTCAGTAGGAGGAATAGTGCCCCATCATTGATTTCAGTAGGAGGAAAAGTACCCCATCATTGGTTTCAGTAGGAGGAATAGTGCCCCATCATTTGTTTCAGTAGAAGGAATAGTGCCCCTTCATTGCTGTCAGTGGGAGAAAGAGTGCCCCATTGTAGGAGTCAGTGGAAGGAATAGTGCCCCATCATTGGTGTGTCAGTGGAAGGAATAGTGCCCCATCATTGGTGTGTCAGTGGAAGGAATAGTGCTCCATCATTGGTGTCAGTGGAAGGAATACTGCTCCATCATTGGTGTGTCAGTGGGAGGAATAGTGCCCTATCATTGGTTTCAGTAGGAGGAATAGTGCCCCATCATTGGTATCAGTAGGAGGAATAGTGCCCCATCATTGGTATCAGTGGGAGGAATAGTGCCCCATCATTGGTGTCAGTGGAAGGAATAGTGCCCCATCATTCCTGTCAGTGGGAGAAAGAGTGCCCCATTGTAGGAGTCAGTGGGAGGAATAGTGCTATGAGGGCCAGATAAAAGCAAGCCAAGGGCAGCATCCAGTCCCAGGGCCACAGTTTGGAGACCACTGCTTTAAAGTGTGTGTCCACCTACTTTTTTAGGTTTTTTTATTTTGCACAAAAGGGGCAAAATAGCTTGCTCCACTATCTCACTGTGGCAAAATTGCTAGGCACAAAGTGAAATAGCCAAGTACTGCATTGGCAGTGAAGGTAAGTTCTTCTTGCCTGCTGTTACCATTTATAACATTAATGGAGTGGGATGTGCTGGGTAATGGGAGTCTAGACCATTTATATCAGACTAATAGTATACTGAAGACTCAGCTATAGTCAATCATTAGGGTTGGTTTACTAAAGGCAAATAGGCTGTTCACTGTGAAAGGAAAGTTGCACTTTAGAAACAAATTTTCCCCAGAACTTACTGAATGCGGTGAAGTTATACTTTGAAAAGAATACCCAATCACATGCAAAGAAATGTTTCGAAAATACCTTTTTTGCTTGCATGTGATTGGGTGATGAAAGTAAGGAGAGTTTAACCTCATTCACTAAACTCTGAGGAAAACTCCCTTGCAAAGTGCAACTTCCCTTGCTGAGTATGATGTGCTGGGTAATGGGAATGTATTTATATCTTAGTAATAGTATATTGAAGGCTTAGCTATAGTCAGTCTTTGTTGTTGGTTTACTAAAGGCAAATGGGCTGTTCACTTTGCAAGGTAGATTGCACTTTTTAAGGGAATTTTGCCCCAGAATGTACTAAATGTGGTAAAGTTTTACTTTGCAAAGAACACCCAAATCACATGCAAAGAACATTAAAAAAACACATTTTTGTTTGTATGTGATTGGGGGATGGAAGTAAGCAAAGTGTAACCTCATGCACTAAACTCTGGGGAAAACGTAATTGCAAAGTGCAACTTCCCTTGCTGTGCGGGATGTGCTGGGTATTGGGAATCTCATTTATATCTGAGCAATGGTATACTGGAGACTTAGCTATAGTAAATCATTGGGGTTGGTTTACTAAAGGTAAAACAGGCTGTTCAATTTGCAAGGAAAGTTGCACTTTTTAAGGGATTTTCCCCAGAACGTACTAAATTTGGTAAAGTTTTACTTTGCAAAGAACACCTAATCACATGCAAAGAACATTTTAAAAAAAAAAAACATTTTTGCTTGTATGTGACTGGGGGATGGAAGTAAGCAAAGTTTAACCTCATTCACTAAACTCTGGGGGAAAAGTCATTGCAAAGTGCAACTTCCCTTGCTGTGTGGGATGTGCTGGGTAATGGGAATGTATTTATATCTTAGTAATAGTATACTGAAGGCTCAGCTATAGTCAATCTTTGGGGTTGGCTTACTAAAAGCAAATAGGCTGTTCAATTTGCAAGGGAAGTTGCACTTTTTAAGGGATTTTCCCCAAAACGTACGAAAATGTGGTAAAGTTTTATTTTGCAAAGAACGCCTAATCACATGCAAAGAACATTTTAAAAAAAAACAAATTTTTGCTTGTATGTGATTGGGTGATGGAAGTAAGCAAAGTGTAACCTCATTCACTAAACTCTGGGAAAAACGTCATTGCAAAGTGCAACTTCCCTTGCTGTGTGGGATCTGCTGGGTAATGAGAATCTCATTTATATCTGAGCAATGGTATACTAGAGGCTCAGCTATAGTCAATTTTTGGGGTTGGTTTAGTAAAGGCAAATAGGCTGTTCAATTTGCAAGGGAAGTTGCACTTTTTAAGGGATTTTCCCCAAAACGTACTAAATGTGGATGAGTTTTATTTTGCAAAGAACACCCAATCACATGCGAAGATCATTTAAAAAAAACAAATATTTGCTTGTATGTGATTGGGTGATGGAAGTAAGCAAAGTGTAACCTCATTCACTAAACTCTGGGGAAAATGTCATTGCAAAGTGCAACTTCCCTTGCTGTGTGGGATGTGTAATGAGAATCTCATTTATATCTGAGCAATGGTATACTGAAGGCTCAGCTATAGTCAATTTTTGGGGTTGGTTT